CCGGAACAGCACAGGGGCTCAAGCTTTCTCTCACGAATCCTTTGGCTAGTAACTCATCAACTTGTCGTTGGATCTCCTTGGTTTCCTCAGGATTCATTCGGTACGCAGGCTTGTTTGGGAGGGCAGCTCCGGGAATGAGATCAATCTTGTGTTGAATGTCTCGTTTTGGTGGTAGGCCGTGAGGCACATCTTCAGGAAAAACATGGGAGAATTGCTCAATGATAGGCTTGGCTAACGGATGAGGTGGGGCTGAGGTAGTGGCGGAATCGAATGCTCCATTTTCAAAGAGAATCAGTTCTTTTTGGGGCTCATATTCATGGTGTTCGGCTTGCAATATAGTGGAAATGAGAACGGGGGTTTCTTCTTCGGATGGGGAGGAAGCTGTGGGGTTAGAGGGGGGCAAGGATGTGAGGGTAACCTTCTTCTTGTTGATGAGGAATGAATATGTGTTGGCATATCCATCATGGAACACCTTCCGATCAAATAACCAAGGTCGTCCCAATAGAACATGGCAGGCATCCATTGGAATAATATCACACCATATCTCGTCGGAATAACTTCGTCCAATGCTTAATGATACCAAACTCCGGGAATCCACACGTAATCCCTTGCCATGGTTCAACCATTGAATCGTGTATGGCCTCGGGTGTGGTGAGGTCTTCAACTTCAGCTTATCTACCAACGTTTTAGAAGCTACGTTGGTACAACTTCCGCTGTCCACGATCAAAGTACACACCTTCTGCTGGATAGTGCAACGGGTATGGAAGATGTTCTCCCGTTGTAGTTGATCATCGGGACTAGCTATGCTACTCAAGGTCCTTCGGATGACCAAAAGTTCTCCTTCATCGGCTCCTACACATTCTTCTTCTTCAATCTCTTCTTCAGGCCATGAGGGGCTGATCTCTTCTTCTTCATACTCAACAATGGCCATTATCTTCTTGTTGGGGCATTCATTGGCAAAATGACCTATGCCTTGGCAACGAAAGCATTTGGGAGTTCGTGCATTGGTTTGGGCTGTGTTAAAGGGGGGTGGATTGGAGGAGGTAGACGGGATGGAGTTGGGTTTTGAAGGGGTGTTTTGAGCAGGGGTATTTGGAGTTGCTTTTGAGGAGGTAGGAGGGGGTTTGGAGAAGGGGGAGGCACGAGCAAACGGGGTTTTGTTTCTCTTAAGTTGGGATTCAACTTTGAGAGCCAGTTTAGAGAGTTCTTCAAAGGTATCATAGGGTTGCAGCTCAACTACATTAGCTATTTGAGTGTTTAATCCAAATAGGTAACGTACCAATGTTTGTGAATCGTTTTCTTGAAGGTCACACCTCATTAGGAGTTCTTCAAACTCCCGGGTATAGTCTTCAACCGAGCGAGGGCCTTGCCTTAGGTGTTGAAGCCGGGCAAAGTTGTCTCGTACATATTGTTCGGGCAGGAACTTCTTCTTCAACAAGCTCCTCATTTTGAACCAGGTCTTCACGGGAGCCTTATTCTCTCGCCTTCTTTTGGTTGATAGGTTGGACCACCAGGTGGACGCATACTTCCGAAACTTCAGCGCCACAATTTTGACTTTCTTTTCCTCGGGCACATCTTTGAAGTCAAAGACGCGCTCAACAGTCTCGAGCCACTCTAGAAAGTCGTCGGGATCATTCTTTCCTTCAAAGGTTGGTATGTCAACCTTGAAATCATTAGCTCCTCGTTCATAATTCTCTCCTCTAGCGGTGTTACTAGAGTTATCCTCGAGAGGAACCTCTTCTTCTTCATCGCTTTCCTCCGGGGTGTTCACCATGTTCATCTTGAGCTTGGTGAGTTCGGCAACTTGTTTTGCCAAGTACTCAACTTGGGCTTTGAGGGCGGCATTGGTAGCTAGAAGTTCTTCATTGGAAAGGTTGTTGGATGTGTTTGACATGATAGCAAGGGCGAGAAAGGCAAGGGGATGGAAAGGAAGGAAAACGGGAAGTGTGTTGTATGGCCTCAAGGGAATGCTCAACAACAAGCTCTGATACCAAATGTTATATCTAAGCTCAGGGTTTTATAGTTACAACCTCTTTATTTGCAGGGAGGTGGTGATAATCGATTATCTAAATAGATAATCGATTATGGACGGCTGCAGGTTCTGGGTAGTTTTTTTTTTGGGAATTTTCTGAGAAGGATAATAATCGATTGATGGAAGAGTGGAAATCGATTATTGAGAAGTGCAGGGTTCTGGGAAAGGCTGGTAATCGATTATCTGAAAGTGATAATCGACTATTGAAGGCTGCAGATGTTTCACGAGGGATAGATAATC